CGGTTGGGCGTGATGACCCGCGTAGGTGCAGGTTCAAGTCGGACCAGACACCAGCGCCTGATACCTCCCCGATCGGGTTATGACAGGCTACAATACTGTGTGTTTATCATCTACGCTCGATCCCGCCTCCGGTCGCACTGACTTTGTCTTCACAGCGGACATAGTTGGATGAAGGAATAGCGAGTGTGGTAGACGTCGTTCAAGCCTATTCTGACTTAAAAACTAATCTACGCTCAAGTTACCATTCCTGAACCGCCAGCCTGTCGAGCAAGTGGTGGACGTCATCGACGGTGAATATGTCGTGGGGTGCCTTTAAGTAGTCGTCCCCAAATGTCAATTAAAATCGTGTATATATTATGTACTAGCTATTTTTTTCGATAAAAATGGAAGTCAATATGAATGCTGTGGTGTCGGATGGGGTGAACGTTCTCTGTTCTTATACAAGCGAACATGCGAGTCCCAGGAAATCGTCTTCTAGTTCTCTGTTCTATATGTCATCCTGCTCTGGGAAAATATCATTTGTAGGAAATCTAGAAGCTCATCAATTTAACGATTTATATGCTATCGTTTATAGCAGGGCCTCAACGCACTAATTAGTTCCATGCATTGTGCTCGACAACAGAAATGTAGGAGGGTACTAATAAATTACCATTTGAAGTCTGTGAGCCCTGGGCCTATGTAAATCATCTTATTTTACCAGTTAAACTGAATAACTGCGAGCGGTTAAGCTTGTGGACTTTGTCCTGCGGATTCACTTGCAACAAAACTCGCACATTAAGCAAATTTAGTGGGAGCGTCGCCGTATATTGATCTTGCTATTAACAAATCAGACCCTTTTGTTGAAGTTGTGCTGCACCCCCCAAAACGCGCAAGAAACCAGCAGCTAGCCCGCAGAGTTATTAATGTGTATAACAACCTCTGTGTGTTGACACAAGCAGTCTGGCATCGTATTATGCTCGATTCCTCTAGGCCGCAACCTTGTTTTAGGATTCGAACTGAATTTATCTCAAGTCCGGATATATGTCTGAAACAACTTTAAGGCATGTACACTAGAATAAGAAAACCCACTCTCCCGTAATATAGGTGGGCTCGCTCTGAGTTCCAGAAAGGGTATCGGTTCCCGTTTCCTAACACTAATTATACCCTTGGCCCTACTCCGTACCCTTCACTCATCTTAACTCTAGCCTTAACCCTAATAAGAATTTAGCCAAGCCCGGTTTCATTACTGGGCATCCCTATTCCCAGGTTTCATCGAGGGTCGGGGTCATATAAGAAGTCCGCTTCAACTTCCACATTAATGAGAGTGTACATAGGGAAGCCAACGTTTTGAAAGCTTAAGCCTTCATTCAGTCCTATTTCCCAAGCCACTGAGCTCTTAACTGTCACCTTGACTATGACCACAGACACCATCAAGCCTTACTATGTATATTCATTCTCCACAACTTCCAGTCGTTAGAAAAGGACTTGAAGGGCGAACTGACCGGCAAGTTTGAGGACTTGGTCCTGGCCAGCTTGATGGATCCCGCAGAAGTGCAAGCCAAAGCCTGTTTAGACGCAATAGACCGCCTCGGTACCAAGGAGATGACCCTGATCCAGGTCCTTGTACCCTCAACCAACGCTGAACTGGCTCAAATCCGAGAGGCCTACAAGTGCAGTAAGTTTCTTTTTTATACTTTTTTAATTGTAGATATCTGTTGGAAGACTTCTTAGTCGAATGGGGTTTAGGTCCTTGAACTTAACTTATGGCATCATAAAACAGAGGAGTACTGTACAGTATACAAAAAACTAATAAACTGTTTGGTCTCGACAACCCTCAGACAGAGTGAAATAAACGAAGGTGGATGTCCACTCTTAGTCCTCGGGGACAATGGCCTTTTGTATGCGAATGTGCTTTTCAAAATTATTATCCGGCCGCCTGCTGTATTCACTCGAGGTCAGGTTATTTGCTACTGCTAATGGTGACGGAGTGGCGCCTGCAAAGATATGTTTGACTTGTTCATCCTCTCTGCTTAGTGTTCAACCGAGATCTGGAGAAGGATATCAAGGGAGACACCAGCGGGGACTTTGAGCGCGTTCTGGTCTCTATGCTTCAGGGTTGTCGTGAGGAGTCACTGGTGGCGAATCCACAACAGGCTGCAGCAGATGCTGACACACTCTACCATGCCGGAGAAAAGTGAGTTTCAGTTTCGGTAGATGGCAATTTTTCTCCCTTTTGTCTGTGGTGGAAATTAAGGAGCCAGTGTAGCCTTTATATAAAAATAGGTATGTGTGTGTGTGTGTGATCATCGATTTCGATGAAGTCCACCCAGTGCAGCAACAGGTTGGTACAGAAAGCGACGGCCTCATGGGGTAACTTTAGAGTGACAGCAGACGTAGTTGGCGTCAACCGCACTCTTCACCTTCGCCCGGGGTCAAGAAGACTGAACGGGACCCGGCGTAGGCTTTTTTCCAATGGAACCCAACACACCCCTTAATTTAGTCTTAAGTGACAATAGACTTTGCGCGGGTAGTACTGTATTACCTACCCTCGCTCACCCTTAGTAGGTCTGAAGACAGGCCCAAGGAGGCCGAGACTGATATGGTTACTACTATTTCTACTACTACTGAGTATCAATGCAGCCGAGTCTTAGTAGTACTGGTATTATTTCGGACGCTAACATTCGTCAGAAGTGAAGATGAGTTGTAATCAACGCTGGGGCTCATACCTCCTTTGTTCTCAACAAGGAGTGAGACATGTGGGTTTATTTTATTTCGAGTAAATACATGTTTGAGGCCCTGAGCACATCAGGGCTTGTCTTCTATTCCGCCCTCTTAAGTCTATCCTCCCAGGCTGTGTCCGTTTCAACTACGAGTTAGACTACGAGGACCAGAATACTGGTGCTATAAATACTTGCCTATGCTAAAGTGCTAATTCTAGTAACCATAGTTACTGAAACCAGTAACTAGTATATTAAGATATGGTCTGTGCGTACCTGTAGGAAGCCAGCACCCTGTATGCACTCCCAATCTGTATGTGGTAAGGTACATTAGTAGTTTATGGGTTAAGAAAAGGCGTTATTAACCATTAGCACAAATTTCAACCATACCTTTATGCCTTACCTAGTGCCTTTTGCCGTGTATAGGCTGTCTGTAGGCCTACTACAACGCCTAGCTTTCGATAGACTAAGTATAATCGCAGCGTATCGTCTTCCCGTGCTGCTATTAACTGGCACTGTAACTATATCTGTCGAATCTATAAGTCAGAGTTGATGCTGACTTGGGTCAATGCTGAGGCTTATGCCAATCTGGATTTATGCTATTCCGAGTAATACATGTTCGTGGCCGGAGCACGTCATGGCTGGCCTTGTCTTCCGCGCCATCACCTCTATCCGCCAAGCTATGTCAGATTTTACCAAGTTTCGGACTAAGAGGACTAGGAACTGCTGTTAGATGTAGTATGTAAATGCTGAGGCGGCTAATACTAATTGCCATACCTGCTAATAGCAATAACTTATATTGTAGTGCAAGTTCAATAAAGAGACGGTCCACTAAATTGGAGCCCTGTTATTACTGACCTTTAGGTTGAGCTTGCTTTGTGTGCGTCTATATAGATATAGTACACAGTGGGCTTCCTATAGTAGGTAGTTAGGCCAGATAAACTTTTGACTTCGGTCTCAACATTTGCCGCTCGCCACTTACGGACTTCTGCAACATTTCCTTAGTATATCTCGGTCCAAGTTTTGTAATATAATCAGTCTAATAGTTGTTGTCGTGCTACGTCTACTACTGCTACTGATATTTGCTTACAATTCTCCGGCAGCTACATGTGCCGTTGAGAGACCAGATTACCTGACAAGGCATGTAAGGTTTACGTCAACCATGGTAAGGAGAGGAATCAATTTGTGGTCTCTGCGTTTGGCTTGCGATAGCCAGTCAAGCATCTCAGCTCTCAACCTTTAACTGCGTCTTGTTAGAATACATTTCGACGCGAAATCGGGATCATAGTTTGTCGAGCCGTGTCTTGACTTCCTACAATATCTAGTCTTGCTTAGAATTTACTGAGCATCATCTGTCTAATAGGAAGCAAACTTCTACACCATCAACTAGTCGTGAAAGCTTAGTAATTCCTATGAGTGTATTAAAAGTACATCAATAAGACATGCATCCTATTTTATCATTTCAGTATAACAGTTGGGGATATGAGCTTACCACCTGAGGTGGTTCTGTAGGCACCTGGTCTCATCCAGCAGGTAAAATGAAACTGTAACATTAACCTTACTCCTAGCCCCACCCTAAACCCTACAGTTAACATGAATCCAAGCCATAATCCTTTATGTGATCCTGATCTTAACCTCAACCTTAAACTCAATCCTAACCCTCACCCTAATCCTAAGCCTAATTTATCCGGAATTCGACGTAACGCTACCTGTGTAATGGACGTTTCCTTTTCCTGTGTCCTGTGTAGGTGGCCGCACAAGTAATCCTTATTAAGAGATTGACTAAGTTTTAATCCAGCTGAACAGCTAGCAGGGCGACTCGGCGGACTTCGGTGCCCGCAGTGGGCCGACACGTAGGTTTATTAGAGCATATCCGTACAAAGACAAGCAATACTAAACCATTAGCTTTTTCGCGTTGCTTTATACATGCTGCAGCTAGACGACAGTTTGACCGTCGTATCCACTGAGGTCCACCACGTACTCGGGGACGGCGACTTGTGCGTCAGGCAGTTTCAAGTGATTGTAGACTTTCACTGCATCAACTGCACACTCTCCTCCCTCACCCATCTGGTCCCAGTATCAAGACAGAGTCCGGAACACCAGAGGTTGGGGGGAGAGAGGTCACAAGTGGATCTTGCAGCATAAGTCTGCACCTAAGCGTGCCACCACATTCCTATGCGCGCCATTTGTTATGGGAGCACATTCAAAATAACGCCTGCCGTCTTCCGATCTAGTTTTCTATTGGACCAGGGCATTAACTATGCAGTCCGTTTAGTGGAAGGATATTTGACTAACTATGAAGTTAGAGTGGGGCACTCATCGACTCCGTTTGATCCTGAGTGCCTACTTAGAGTATTAATGAACATTGCGGTTTTCGGTGTTCTCAATCGATCGACCAAAAGATAGGTTCCGTACTACATGGCTATAGTATAAGTTACCTAAATTTAATGAGCGCAATTTTTAAGCAAGGACAACCTTTCGTTCTTCTGAAACTTGATTTGTGTTTCAGTCCAACGAAGTTTGATTTTTTTTAACTCTTTTCCATTTAGGTTTACGTCACTGCTGAGAAAAGCGTGCGCAGACATGCTGATGTAATCTGCGGCAATTATTAGCATAGGAACATTTCCTATTATAGTATGACACTGCTTACTATGCACAAATATGTTTAACCTGCGAAAATGTTTTATTCCCATAATGCGTTAAACTAATAAATAAAGTGTGCAATTTCCGTGGTGCCCCGCTTTGTGCTGAGTTCATAATATTTCATGTCGAGTTGCGAAGGTCTCGTCGGAATTTTTAAAAGTACTCAATACATTTCAGGCGCATCGGTACGGATGAGGCTGCATTTACATGTATCCTTACGCAACGCAGTTTCGCACAAATTCGGGAGATAGCAAAATGTTATCAGCAGGTGAGTAAATATGCCCTTTGTCGTTTCTTATTTTCCACTAGAAGTTAGTTTTGCCCACGCGCGATGTTAGCATGATCAGGTTACCTATAAGAAGTTGCAGTCGAGACCTGTTGAAGGTCACCTGCCTTGATGTTGAGTTTTTCTGTCCTCAGCGATGCTGTCTTAGTCCCCTAGAATTTTAAAATATTTTTGTCTGCTCACCACAGAACTTGCGAAAAATCAAAATATTCCAAAGCCTGATCACGCTTTTAAAAGCGTCGTTGAGTGGACATTCTCATTTGTAAGAGCTGTATTTAATGAGCAATAGCGATGATTCTCCCACCGATTCTGTTGATGCTGTTATAACCGATACTTCTCCTTACTTTAGAAATATGGGAAGCCGCTCAAAAAGGTTGTTAAGAAGGAGACGTCTGGCTACTTCGAGAAGACTTTCGTAGCAATCCGTAAGTTGTTGTGTTTGTTTTCCACCCACGCATTCACTGCCGAAAGTTTTCGCCCATTTTCCGCCAGAGTCAGTTAACGTTACCGTTATTTGGGGTTTGACTCCTGAAACGCCAACAGATCGAGGTTCTAGGCGATTGGGGATGCAGCTACTCTGTGTAGTAGGCTTTGCGCCAGCAAGGCCACACATTATCACCCGTTTACAGACGAAAGTCACACGGACGATCCCTTAAAATCCATCCCGGACCAACCAGCCTTACTGACCGTAACATTGGGATGAAATGTATATTTTTCGATGTAAGGTCTGCCGAATCGAAGTGCGTGCACGCAGAGTACCAGATGCAATCAGCACAGCGGGAACTGTGACGTGACTTTCTTTCTAGCAGAGTGACTACCATCCCGGTATTACATGCATACTCCCCCCGCCCCCAAATAAAACCCGTACATACAGCAGCATTGTCTGTGGGCCCCAAATGGTTGCCTAGAGTTTATTACTACAATTAAAAACTGACATTACACCTGCTGCACGACAGCATTTGAATGCCGTTTAACCAAAAACGTATCTGTAGAAGTCTTTAATTTCACGCAGTCCTCATCGTCAGTCGAAAGTTATTAAGACTACTACATCAGCAAGTGTGAGTGAAGATATGAAGTTTGAAAAATAATTCTAGCGACACACTGACGATCCGAAACTGAATTGGGGCTTTCACGATAGTTTTAAAACCCGACAGGAAGCCGATTAGACGCTTTTTGTATGACTTTTCAGCAGATATTTGACCGAAATTTATGTTATTGGAAGTCCACTGTTCACTGTGGGTAGATAGATAAATATGGCATCGATGCAGTTACACGGCTGCAATGGCTCCGCATGGAGCCACCTGCGCCCTCTTCCACCTCTGGTCTTTTTAACTTGGTCATGGTACTGGGTTCAAGTGGTGGAGGCGGAGAGAGTGCGGTAGATGCAATGCAATTCTACTACCAATATAACCTATTTCAGGCCTAAATCACCGTCCCTGCGCCCTTTTGCTGTGGGGCAAATTGCTGACCTCGTCGCATACGACGGTCAAACTCTCACGGTAGCAATGACAATCCTCGTAAAGGTACTACAACACAACTTGGCCTTGTTGAGACTATTCCATTCACTTACACTACTTCAATAAATAAAAACAGCAAATACATTTATCCTCAGTAATGCCCAGTGCACGAGGACTTGAATTTTCCCTCTGCTTCAGTGTTATGGTCTAAAAAGATTACCGTTCTGCCTTTTAGTTAAATACGCCGAGGACAAGAATAAGTTGTTTGCAAAGTGGTTCCACGAAACTATGGCTGGCGCAGGCACCAACGACGATGACCTCATTAGGCTTGTACTCGTCCGTTCAGAGGTGAGATTTCGTTGATAATATTATTTGAGCTTGTGCTTTATGGGCAGCAAAAGAATTTAAGTCCGATTTCATGGTTATTCTCAACTGCATTTTTAATCGGTTTGGCCATATCTGCATACTGAACTGCCAAACGGCCCGCACCCCACATCCCACAAATGCCATGAAAACCTAATGAGGTGTGCTTATGTAGCATGGGCTTCCGGCGGGTGGGAGGGGGTGAACCATGAGACAGGAAGGACACAGAATACTGTAGCTGAGGAATTGCTATCACAGGAACACTTAATCGCGGCCTTCACCTATCCCGTCCAGTGTCAGGCTTGTCCAGAGTTCGGTTATGTAGTAGAGTTTCAGTCTGAAGATCCCCACTGACGATCACATATCAAGGAGCAATCGCCTATTGAGAAACATCATCAGCAGAGACGGGGCAAGTTAAGATTTCAGAGGCTTGCTCAGTTGGTAATGTACGTTGACCATACCTCACCGCTGATCGAGAAAGCGGAATACTTAAACCTTCCTCGGATGCTACATGCTTAATAGTTAATTGAACCCGCGTTCAAATATGAATTCTTTCTG